CATGTTGAAAATGTCATTATATTGTATTCTTTATATAATGGACATTGTAAATGGTACCAAAGGCAATTGCACATTGAAATGCCATTATGCATGAGTTACATTACATTTATGGGTATTGACATGGGTGGGAATGTGTGCATGGGATGAAATCAATCACCACATAGGTATGACATTGAATGTACATAACTCCAATGACGGGGGCTTGGAATGCTTGGATACATACGCATGACATTACATGTGTTGTAGGAGCTCAGGATGGGGTTCGGTGTTGGTACTGTTTTCGTGAGTCTCATCTCATGGCATGACATGATTTATGACATTTGTTCATAATAGACATATTTGAATGATTGCATGAAATGATTGTTGTATGTGACCTTTATTATGCATTTAGGTTGAAAGATATTCTATATAGGAGTTACCCTATTGAGTATTGACTCACCCTTTATGAGAACATTTTTTAGGTATTGCACAAGCGTCCACCGAAGGCGAGACCATGGGCCCACTTTGACAACAGAGCCGGTCTGTGACTCTTCTTTTGACATCGTAGTCTCTTGTTTATAATTACTTTTGGCCTTGTGTAATTTTTGTAACAAAAACTTGTTTATGTATAAGGAACTCTGTTGAGACATTAATTTTTTTATGAATAAATATACATAATGATGATGATTATGGTAGTATTCAATACTATACAATTGTGAATGAATGGATAGACCCAGTGTGGTCAATATTGTACATGTTGCATTTTGGGTAGAGCTCCTCATATAAAGGAGACTCTATCCAAATTTTGTTAAGTTATGGATCTCGATAAATGAAACATAACGACGTGGTATCGAATTACATGGTATCCACGGATATTCCGCGGGTTGATAGATAATCAATCAGATAATTACAGACACAAGGATTTTGGGGTGTCACAGTAACACTTGCGAAAATAATTAATTTTTTTTTTGCCATGATTGTAACCATGATCTCGTCCTTGACCACAAAAAAATGTGACATTCGCGTCTGGGAAGGCTTGGTGGCTAGTTGAACGAGCCTCATGGTTCCTCATTAGTAATTCGTTATTGTCGTCGACAAGTAAGAGACATGTTATGAGGTTACTATATGTGTTGAACCCATTATATCGATATTGTTGTTGTATTATAATATTTGATGCATAAAATGTGGAGTATGTTTTCTCTAGTTTGTCAACATCAGTGACAAGCTATTCACACATCTAAATTTAGATATAATTTTATGAATTTTCGAATTATATTCTCGTACAGTTTCATAGTCCTAAAACCGTAGGTTGAACCACTTGTGCAAAACTTTTGGAAGAATGATATTTTTTTGGTGATTAAATCTATCTATTAGGTTTTGCTAAAGGACTAAAGGATCTTTTACGATTAGGTATTCATTTCTCAACCCAGCGTGAATATAATGGTGAAGAAAAAGCGGTGCTTTCATCTTCCTAAATTTCAGTGTTTTCAGTTTGAATAGTATCTCAACCAATGAAAAGTTCGACATCAAGTGCCCATAATAGGTAGTTGGAGTTAGAAATATCTAAACCAGGGAACCCTAGTTTTGCAAGATTGGCCATATCTCAAAGCTATGTATAACAAATAAAATAATCAAATTAGATAAAAAAAAAAAATACAATCAACAAATCCTTGTCATTAGTAATGGCTGATCACACGTAGACCAAAATATTTAATTTCGCGTGTGAATTTGAATATATCATAAAAATATTTGTCTCTTTGATTATATATATATATATATACAAATTATAGAAAATAAAAATTTCTTCTACAGCTTCTGATATAAATTTCTCTCAGACTATTCATGGTTATCTCTTTTGTATTCTAATTTTCTATGAAGTGATAATTTTATTCTTTCTTTATATAATCATATATCACTATGATCATAATTTCTACAAATTTATTTGATGTAATCTTATCGAAAAAGTGTTTGTAGCTTAATTTTATTTGTGTTTCCAGCAAGTTACTAGTACTTGTTAAGTTGTATTATTAATAAAAAAATCTTATGTATTTATATTGTTTTGCCATTAAAAGAATCTATTTATAAATCTATCAGAAAATTTCGGGTGAAAATATAATTTTTAAAAGTAAAGAGACCTAACCATTACTCATTAAAAGATAAGGAGTTAAAATATAAATTATTATATTAAGCTCACAATAGCCTTTTAACTCTACGAGGGATCGATTTGACTTCAACATAAATTTTTTTTATTATTATTATAACTACTATATAGTAGATTCGAACTGATAACCTCCACTCACTCAAGTTAGAATTAACTATCTCGAATAAACTTTCAAGTCTATCGAAAAAATATACAAATATGCATGAATATAATGAGAAAATGCTGCAGACATTAATTGATATCTTAAATGCCGCTGACACAATCTTATGCAAACTTCATATCTGTAATTTATATATAATTTATAAACTCCAAGTTTATAATTTATATTCTCAATTCTACCATAATGAAATTATTTGTACTCTAAGTACTAGATTTTTTTTTTTTTTTTTTCTGTTCTTTAGGAACATAATTTATTTTAAATCTTTATATACTTCAGGTATACAATTTATATGCTTTAGACACGTGCTTCAAGTACTAATTCAAATGTAATAACAACTTAAAAATAGGACAACAAATATCAACCTATGTTGTTCTCATAACATATATGGTATTAACAAACTATTTAGATGAAAACACCCACTTTGAAAAGCAAATAAAAAGAATACTGAAAGGGAGAGATGAAGATATATATTTCATTTAGTATACTCTGATTCAATAATTTGAGGTCTTTTTATAGGCAAATTTCAACCTTAAAAAAATGTCACTCTATTTAACCTTTTTNACCTTAAAAAAATGTCACTCTATTTAACCTTTTTAAAAAGGACGTGAATTTGAAAATTACTTTCAAACCAACCTTTAATCGAGACCTTTTTTTTTTAAAACCCCCATGGGATGGGTCAAAAGCTCGTGCAAGTAGTTTGGGTTGTTGAGTATTGACTATCAATGGAATTGGTGGTTGAATGTCAATTGATTGACAAATGGTTTTACAACTATAGTTTTGCAAATGGAGAAACTGTTTTTGTATATACTGATGTGATTTTAGATCTTTATTGAGTATTTTTTTTCAATGGCTACAACCACATAACTGTATGCATATTCATTCCTCCGGAGCTGCTATCCATGAACCAAATTCTTTTTACATTCAAACAAACAAAGTCTTATGGTTGTCCAATAGGGCATCTCTATTGGGGGAGTACAAATGCATCCCACAAATTAAACTATACAAATCAGAGCACTTATGTTGCCTTCAAAAGCAATGCCCCACAGATGGGGTATATTGTCCACACTTGAATCTAATGCCAGAGACGCAATTCAAGTAGGAATCTCTTATTTTTGACAGTTTTTACCCTACGAGTAGACTCAAGACAACATTAAACCATTTCTTCATGGTAGTATTTCGTAGCAAATACTGATGCATTCTGATGATGCTGGTAGATCAACTCTTGGCAGCCCAAAATAAATTAAAACCGAAGAGGAGGAGGGACAGTGAAAATACCATTTAACTGCTCAACTCGTTGGAAACTTTTAGGCGTAGGTGTATATTTTCTCCATTAACACAAACTCAAAAATTACACGACCAATTATCACGAATATGACCGGGGTAGATACAAATAATTTGTTTTACTGGCATTTGGAAAAAAATATGAGTACCAGTCCTGTGGTATCTCATACATGGTTTACATGAATATTACAGAATAGGCCCGAATATGAAATGATAAAA